GCTGATGTTGTTATTGTTTTCATTTTGTTGTGTGTGAAGAACTCCCTGTTCGGACTGGCTGAGAGAATTGCCGGGCTACGAGAATCAGTCGCTGGTAAGAGGGCAGAGGCTTAGAAGATCAAGAGGGATCAGAGATTGTGCTCAATTGTTGGTGGTCGGGACGTCAGGTAACAACAAATTTGGCACATTTTGCTTTCTGAACATTTGGAGGTTGTTGTATAGGCCTTTATAAGTGATTCTTAGATAAATGTGACTATTTAAGTTGAGCTATCAAAATGTTTAAATTGGCTATGTCACATGAATGAATTTATTTCCTCGCTCGCATGAGATGGAGCCATCAAAGGGACATGACTCAGCATTACCACCTTCACTGTTTTGATCTCAGTTTGTCCAACTAGGAGCCAACTGAAGTATCACACTGAATCATATGTTGCCTATTATCTACTCCCAGTGGAGTACTGAAATTTTAACATAACAACTACATTCAATATGTGCCCAATGGATATTACGTATGTGCACTAGCATCAGCACACTTAGGATGATTTATGTGTAAATATGTGGTTCAAACAAAAAATAATAATCTGCACACATAGCTTACTCTGGTTTCCCTCTCTATCTTGCTGGAACAACCCTGCTCGTGATTGATGTTCCGGTGGCGCACGTTGTGTTGGTCGTAGTTGCCGGAAACCTCACTCAGCTTTGCCCATCTGGCCCAAGTTGGTCATTAAGGCAATGCTTACTAAGTTTATTTTGTGAAGTTTGCAGGAGTTATCTGAAGAAAGGGCTCACTATCTGGTTAAATGTTCCATTGGATGCCCTTGCAAGAAGGATTGCTGCAGTGGGTTCAGCGTCACGGCCCCTCCTGCATCAACAATCTGGTGATCCATATGCAAAGGTAGGTAGCTACCAAGGCTCTTATCTATTTCTTCAATTTCAGTGTGGCATGCTAACAGAGCTAATAATGTGTTGTTTTCTTATGCAACCCTATGCAAAACTTGCATCATTTTTTGAACAAAGAATGGACTCATATGCTAATGTTGATGCCCGAGTTTCCTTTGAAAGTAGTTCAATAACACCAATATACATAATTCTGGTTTTCATTCCAGTGCTCTATGCTACTACAAAAACGTACATGGTTCACCGATACGATACTTCTAGCTCTTCTGTTTTTACACCCTTGCTCCCTATAAATACAATTATCCATAACGCAAACATTGCATTCAGAAATTGACATAATGACTTGGCTAAGATGATCTTTTGAACTATGCCTGACTAGGATTTCTACCTTCCATTCTTGATATAGATGGGAGCTTTCTTACTGAGAAGGCTGTGGTAAGAAACCAGATCTTGGTTGTTGTGATGTATATATACCTTTGCATGAGACATCCTTCTTGATATAGTCAGAGGCTCAGAGCTATGCCAAAGGATAACTTGGGTTTTTACTTAAGTAAACGATATGTAAATAGCTCTAAATTATGATATTTGGGATTGTAACTCAGCTCTTGGGTTCTATTTGTTGGCATGCCGTTTGATCAATTTTGAGGTAAAGCAAAGTTGTTATCCAGAAAATACTTAGCTACTTAAAGATGGTCCAAGTAGAAAAAAATGTTGCCATAGTTTTCAGGTATGCTAGCATTCAAATCTACTTCAGACACCAGATAGCACATCAAATTTTGATACCTGAAGCGATAGCTGCAGAGGAAAGGTACCAAAAATGATTCATGGTCTCTTTGCTTAATTCTATGCTTCTCAAAATGCTTTAGTATATGCCCATAATATCAGAGTATGAATTGTTCTATGAGCAGTTTGCTTTATCGATGATAGTAATTCATTCGTTAATCTGATATATGTTCCGCATTTCTGACTGAAACAATGGTATGTTTGGCTTTGGCAATTGGAAACCCCATGTGTGTGTAGTTTTTTCAGTCGTTATAATTTGATCATGCTGAAGGCAAGATATACATCATGGTTGCTTCATGTAACTTAAAGGGTCTGGGGCAGTGTTAAATGTGAAATAGCTTCACGGGGAAAATTGTTTCATTTCTTTACAGTCAAGAGATAAACCAGGGACAAAGCACAATCAGACAATCTGTTTTTGCAAAATATTTTCTACCTTCCTTTGTCGTTGAAGTGTATTGGCTTTATTTCTTACAATACAAAACTGAAAAGTTCCAGCTGTACTACCAACCGATAATGGAAGCTATGATAGGAACGCTGCCAAGAGGTATGTTAGGCTAGGTGCATTACTTATGGAATCACATGATAAGAAAATCAATGAATTAATATTTTGGGAGGTTGGATTCCTGATGTGCTTAGCTGGATTGACAATCTTTTCAGTACAAGTTGATCATATTAGTTTAGTCAGACTATTCACACACCAGCATATATATAGTCCTTAAGCCTGTTGATTTCCTGTGCCTGAGGACTGCTACTGCTGCTATCCTTGCTACTGTATTTTGTTCTAGCTGCTAGGTCGTGCTACTGTTGCTGCTGTATAGATGTGAATATATGTGTGCTAGATGTGTTACTGTGTAAGAAAGTTGTATAAATATGTTAAAATTCTGTCAAAAAGCTCAATGTACATATGTGTAGATGTGTTAACATTTGCTCGATGATTTTGTGGTCATATAATTAGTACTGCATGTTATGCTTTGTCCGCCGGCCCTGACTGACACGGAGATGGAGGACGCCCTAGATCGAATGCTCACAAAGATTGGCCTCGCTATGGGCACCCACCTCATGTGAAGGCAGACCAAAAGGGGCGACCTTATCATTGGCTGATCTTATCTGATTAACTAAAAAATGTTTATTTCTCGTGTACAGACCACTTCCTTTGTGTGAAAGGAAAATAAATTTATCTTTACCTTTTCTTTTTGGCTATTGCATTATGAAGTCCATAGTCCTCACTGTGACGATTCCTTGCTAATGCAGGGTTTGTTGCAATGTATGCTAGGTTGATAAGCAGAGATGCGGTAAGTTCGCCTTTATTTTGCAATGTATGCTACGCTGACAAGCAGGGATGTGGTAAGTCTACCTTCTATGCATACCTGATCTATTCTAAACATGCATTCAGTAGTTTTGTAAAGCTTTATATTCTTCTTCTTTTTAACATTTGTTGTGTTTGACGAGATGCTTCACCAATGTTCAGATGTGCCATTCTTCTCATAATTTGTGTTATTATTAGCTGGATAACCTAGATTTTTTTCCCTGTCTTCTGTAGGACACTAGGACTGTTGCTTAATTCCTAAATCTCCATTTTAAGGAGAGGGTGGACTTTTTGAGTATAAAGAAAGAAACTTAAGGAGAACAACCACATGGTCATTAATTGTAGTGCGTGAGGGAGTAGGACAGGATCTTATTGCCAAAAGTATACCTGTAGCATCAGCTAGATGCATCTTGAAATAAGCTCCTTCTTGATGTTGATCTCTGGTTGACTCACAAGATTAAGGTGAACATCATTTTATTTGGCACGGGTTTACATCGCCTTCTGTCGATATGTTACTCTGCATTTGCGGTTGACACTAGAATTGCTAGAATGTGCACTAATAGATGTGCCACATGAGGTTGGGCCAGGCCTTGGATGTGGAAATGGCCTTTACATGAAGAAAAAAAGGACTACGTGAAATATGAAATATTTTGTGAGGTTATGCAAACACTTGCGCTCTATAAAATTAGTGTTATATGTTTATTAGTTGAACTAGACTGGACCACAAGATGTCGATTTCGATGAGCCTTCAACACGAACATGCAGGATTTAAAGTGCGAGGTGTTTTTTCTCCCGGTACAACGCACGGGCACTTTTCCTAGTAAAGACTAAAGGCTGATCATGCTGATAATGTTGACCAGATTTAGATGGTGAAACAGTTGAGACTTGGGAGTACAAGCTCAAGCCATTGAGATAGTTCAAGGTATACATTGTCCAGGTTTTCATGCATTCCAGACTATTGGTGCATGGACTCTCTAAAGTTTGATTCATCATCTTGAGATCTGGACAAACGCACAACTTTGTTTAAATGGAAACTACATGGCCCGGGTTTTCTTTTAGTGTTTTATATCAAATAAATGGAAATATATTTGCACAATGATCGGTTGCTACTACAAAGAATGTGTTAATTAATGGGCAGTGGAATGGGATTAGGCCTCACAATTTACAAACAACTCAAAGAATTGAAGTAACGAAAGTATGCGTCACACTTGGATATGTGGTTGGAAAGAAAACGAATCATTGAAATGCTTCTGCCTCCCAAAGGAGGCTTACCTGCGTTTCCATCGAAGGGAAATGTTCCGAAATATGAGGGTTTTATCGCCGACTATTGTAACTATTGTGTGTATAAGTGAGAGATGTGCCTCTCATTATGGTCCATATTTGCTCGCGGGTAAATGTTTAACTATTGTGTATAAAAAATGAGCAATACATCTCTCATTACCTCACATATTTCCTATCAGGCTAATGTTTCTAGACAGGGTGCTATTTTGTAAAACACACGAGGATAAGGTATATGTTTGACATGTTTAGGACTGAGCCACTAGAACATTTATGTTCCCGTTGCAACGCACGAGCAATTACCTAGTAAAACCTAAATAACCCTAAAAAGTAAAAATCCCAAACCCCAGAAACCCTTCCCGAGTCCCCAGCATCCGTTCTTCTCGAAGCTGGCGGCGCACACATCGAGACCTCTCCTGATCTCCATCCCAGGTACAGGAATCCTAGTCAGTCACCTCCACGTCTCTCCCGTTCTCAGATCTCGCCGTGCCCGCTTCATCCCCAAGCTCTCTCTTCTCTCCCTCTGCTTTCCCCACCGCGCGCCGCTCCCAGCCGACGCCTCCCCCTTCACTGGTCCGGACCCTACCGCGCTCGCTTTGCTTCTCACCGGCTCCGCGGGAGACGCCGACCCCGTCATCCGCCTGCTCGTCGCCAGTTCCCACCTGTCGACCGCTGGTGGCCTCGCTAGTCAGCACTGTATATATAAACAAAAAGGCAAACCTCTCAAGATATATAGATGGATGAGCGACGGATGGTCACGTCCGCCATTGTAGCTGAAGAAGAAACAAGGACACATGTGATCAAGATAGATAGGTACTCAACAATCAAGGAGTTGCTCAAGGTTGGCAAGTATACAACATCTATCCCTTTCATTGCCGGAGATCATAACTGGGTTGTGAGGTATTTCCCAAACGGTAACACATACGCAGATAATTACGCACCTGGGCACGTATCTGTTTATCTGGTTCTTGATTCGGCTGGTGCCACAGATGTGAAGGCAAAATTCACCTTCAGTGTTCTTGACAAGGGTGGAGAACCAGTGCCTTCATACATCAAAACTGTGACACCACATATCTTCCCAAGCAAAGGTTCGGATTGGGGTTTTGCTAATTTTATCAAGCAGAAGGATTTGAAGGGATCAGTTCATCTAAACAGTCTCAGAATCAGGTGCGATGTCACTATTGTGAAGATCCGCAGCGAAGAGACGCATACAAATCAGTTTGTTGTGGTTCCTCCAAGCAACTTGCATCGCCAGCTTGGCGACCTCCTGAAAAGCAAGGATGGAGCAGACGTGGCCTTTCGAGTCGGCGGCGAGATATTCTCGGCTCATAGGTCCGTGCTCGCTGCTCGTTCACCGGTCTTCAAGGCGGAGCTCTTTGGCACCATGAGGGAGAGAGCTGGCGATCCGATAGAAATTCATGATATTGAAGCTGATGTGTTCAAGTCCTTGCTCCATTTCATCTACACGGACTCACTCCCTGAGAGCACTCATCAAGGTGCAACACAGGAAGATGTAGTGACAGCTAGCCATCTGCTTGTAGCGGCGGACAGGTACGACATCGAGAGGCTGAAGCTGACATGCGAGGATAAATTGTGCAATCATATTGACCTCAACATGGTTGCGACTAGTTTGGCTCTTGCCGAGCAGCATAACTGCCATGGACTCAAGGAGGCTTGCTTTGGGTTCCTTGCTTCTCCTTCAAATTTGGAGGCAATGATCGGAAGTGATGGTTACCAACATCTCAAAAGCAGTTGCCCGTCTACTCTCAAAGAGCTCATTGCTAGACTCTTGCCTGCTGAACTGATGGCAGCCAAGGATATTGTCAGGTCAATTTGACCAGTACTGTTGGTACTGATTATAAAGTAAACTTGGTATCTATTTTGCGTGTGTGGGTCTGCCCTCAAAGAGCTGATTGTCAGACTCTTGCCTGTTGAGCTGAGAGTTATCAGGACAATTTAATTAGGACTTGCGCGTGTGGAACTACTGATCGTGTCTCAAGTAAACTTTAGTGTATATTTTGCTAGTTTGCCGTGTCAAGCAGAATGCTATCAATCTATATCTATTTATGCAGGTAGAATTGGTACTGTTGGGTCCTGCATTAATTCTCTGTTTTCCGTATGCATTGCCTAGCCGTATACACTTCGATTGGTCAGAGTGGAGATGAGTCTGATTTTGCCTGCTGATACAAACCAGCCTGAGTTTAAAATATCACCTCTCTGTTTTCCAAGTTTGGCATGGCAGTTTTGCTTGATTGAAGTGATCTGCACCTTAGCTTTTGTTGCTCGTCGTTTCTTGAATGATCCCAAACACAGAGTTTTTAGCCATGAACCGAGATAAACCATGTCGCCATGTAGGGCCGCAAATCCTGTTAGCTAAGGACCTCTTTCTTGATTCAGAAGATTTTTAGAGGATTCTAACCATTAGAAAGTTTTCCTATATGGTCTTTTTGATTCGTCTAATTGCAAATCATTTTCTTCTTATGATTCATTTGTACGAGGTTCCGTAGATTTTTTTCATTTAAGAATGCTATTTCTTCTGCATAATCATACAACCATTCAATCCTGTAGTAGTATCACTGTTCAAGATATCTTCCGATATTCCGATAAATCGGCCAATTTTTCGCTTACCGGTGTCTGACCGATAAGATAAATCGGCTGATAAATCAGCCGGTATGACGATAATCGGCCGATATGCCGATAAACTGGCCGATTTACCCTTATCTTGGATCGACCGATAAGTTTCTGATAGGTGATATCCCAACATTGAGAAGTATTGATGGACAAATCAAGTGGATTCAGGATAGTACTATGGTTTGGCTGATATTGTTCGACTGGACTTGAGACCAACACCCGATTGAGCGCCATTTAACTTGCCTAGGATGTGTGGCTTTGGGCGTAGATTGTGTGACATTTGTTGCCATGTCGGCCTTTACTGGTGGGCCTGTCCTATTGAGATCAATTCCAGACGGACTAAATAGGTAAATTTGGATCTCTGTCAAATTTTACTAAAGCAGCGACAAATAATATGGATGTGAGGAATACAAAAGTTGTGGTTTTACAATAAAGCCACAGATGTTGTGTTAAATTGTCAGAGTTTCACTAACATTTTGTTTTTTGTAATTAGCTGGTGAAAACATAAAACCTAGATTGTATCGCCAGAGTCCGCACGTATAACCCCAAAGTTAGGGTTTTGCTCTTCCTCCCGTCTTCGACAGCTAGGGTACTCATCTCCTACAAGCTTCGCCGCCGAGTCTGTGGATCCACCTCTTCTTTGCCTGCCGCTTAGGTGGACGGTGGCAGGGAGGAGGATCCCGGTGCCTCAGCTCCGGTTAGTAGTTTATGTTAGGGTTTTTTTCTCACAGGGGTGGCATTCCGGTAGATGATGCGCTTCATCTTTCAAGTTGGTCTTTTGGGATCCGATACTCCTGGAATTCGTCCTTTAGGATGAAGTCGACGGATCTCCGACGTTGATTGCTACAGTCTCATTCGGGCAGCGACGTAAGGATTTCTCGTCATGCGTGAGCGCCCGTGAAATTTGGTGTCGGACACTTCGGATCAATTCAATGGTTCAGTGACAACGACTGCGGCTCCGGGGCGCAAGTCCTTAGGGTCATGTGCACGAAGACTTCCTGGGTGTCATTTACAAAGTCAAGCCGGCTCCGGTAGGGGATCGACGCGTTGGCGGCTCGTTCTGGCAGTGGCAGTGATCGTTCGGTGGTGCAGGATGCTCGATGTAATTTGTATTATGTTTAGAATGATTTGTACTTCTCACGAACCCTTTTAACATATCAGGTTCCTTTTTTGCAAAAAAAAATATTAAAATTAAAACCTAAATTGCCGTAAAAACCCTAAACCCCACCCCACCCCTCTCCTCTCCCTTGTGTGTCTTTTCTTCTCGAAGCTGGCGGCGCACACATCCGTCCTCTTCCGATCCCCATCCCCTGCACGTCAGTCACCCCCATCTCTCCCGTTTCTCAGATCTCGACGTGCCGGCTTCATCCCCGAGCTCTCTTTTCTCCCCCTCCGCATTCTCCACAGCGCGCCGCTCCCAGCTAGCCACGCCTCTTCCTTCACTGGTCCGGCCCCTACCGCGCTCGCGTTGCTCTTGCTCCTCACCGGCTCCGCGGGAGACGCCGACCGCCTCATCCGCCTGCTCGTCGCCTCGTCCTCGTCCTCATCCTCGACCGCGCAGCCCCCGCTGGTGAGCTGTTTCTGGTAGGTCAATACGACTCCGATCGACATTTAACCCAGGCCTAGCTAGTCAGCACTGTATAAACAGAGGCAAACCTCTCACCTGCGTGTGACTTTGCAGAGTATCGTTTCGTGCAAAATGGCGTAAAGTGGCAGAGCGCGGGCAAAATCTTTTATTTTGCATTCTTCGCGATCTTACAGCCTAAGCTACCTCAGCCCGACCCCAGGATGGCTGAGCGCCGGATGGTCACGTCCGCCATTATAGCTGAAGAAGAAACAAGGACACATGTGATCAAGATAGAGGGATACTCAAGAACCAAGGAGCAGCTCCAGGCCAAGAACTATACGAAATCTGTCCCTTTTAAGGTCGGAGATCACAACTGGGCTGTGAAGTATTACCCAAACGGTTGCACGGCACATGATTACATATCTGTTTATCTGGTTCTTCATTCGGCTGGTTCCAAGGATGTCAAGGCGAAATTCACCTTTAGTTTACTTGACGATGGTGGAGAACCAGTGCCTTCATACACCAAAACTCTCGCACAACATATCTTCCCAAGCAAGGGTTCAGACTGGGGTTTGCCTCGTTTTATCGAGCACAAGGATCTCGAGGGATCAGTGCATCTAAGAGGCGATAGTTTCAGAATCAGGTGCGATGTCACCGTCATGAAGATCTGTAGCAAAGAGTCACATGAGAATCAGTTTGTTGTGGTTCCTCCAAGCAACATGCATCAGCAGCTCCGTAGCCTCCTGGAAAGCAAGGATGGAGCAGACTTGGCCTTTCAAGTCGACGGCGAGATGATCTCGGCTCATAGATCTGTGCTTGCTGCTCGTTCATCTGTCTTCAAGGCAGAGCTCTTTGGTACCATGAGGGAGAAAGCTGGTGATCCGATCGAAATTGATGATATAGAAGCTGATGTGTTCAAATCCTTGCTCCATTTCATCTACACGGACTCACTCCCCGAGACAACTCGTGAAGATGTGGTGATAGCTAGCCATCTACTTGTAGCGGCGGACAGATACGACATCGAGAGGCTGAAGCTGATATGTGAGGAGAAGTTGTGCAATCACATTGACACAAAAGTTGTTGCCGCGAGTTTGGCTTTGGCCGTGCAGCATAACTGCCATGGACTCAAGGAGGCTTGCTTTGAGTTCCTTGCTTCTCCTTCCAATTTGGAGGCAATGATCGCAAGTGATGGCTACCAGCATCTCAAAAGCAGCTGCCCGTCTGCTCTCAAAGAGTTCATTGCTAGATTCTTGCCTGTTGAGCTGATAGCAGCCAAGGATATTATCATGTCAATTTGATTAGTACTTGCGTGTGTGGGTTGGGTACTGATGATCATATCATCTATCAAGTGAATTACTTAGTATCTATTATGTGTGTGTGTGGGTCTGCCCTCAAAGAGCTGACTGCCAGGCCCTTGCCTATTGAGCTGACAGCAACCAAGGCTAATATCAGGGCAATTTAATTAGTACTTGCATGTCTGGGTACTACTGATCATATCTCAAGTATCTTGGTGTATATTTTGCTAGTTTGCCGTGTCAAACAAAATTGCTATAAATCTATTCTATTTATGCATGTAGAACTGGCACTTTTGGATTCTGCATTAATCCTGTGTCCTTTAGTTATTCTCTCCTAGTTGAAACATGCATATGCTTGTACAAACCAGCCGGAGTTTAGGCATGATGCATCCCTATTTATCATGTTTCGGAAGTGAAAAATATCGCCTCTCTGTTATCTGAGTTTGGCACAGGAGTTCTGCTTGATTGAAGTGATCTAAACCTTTCTTAGCTTGTGTTGCTTGTCCTTAATTTGTTTGGTGATCCCAAGCGCAGAGTTTTTAGCCATGAATTGAGACAAACCATGTCTTTATGTAGGGCCGTAAATCCTGTTAGCTAAGTGCCTATTTGATTGAAAATATTTTTGGAGGATTCTTATCCTCAGAAGATTTTCCTATATGGAAATGCAAATCATTTTTCGAAACCTGTATTTGGTCCCAGGCAGCCCAGGCCATTGGGCATCAGAAAATTAGTCAGCCCATATATCTAGGAAAATTTAACTGGCCTGGTGCGCAGCCCACTTCTAACCCTGGTTGGGCCTGAGATCTCAGCCCAAATCACACACAGGCACACAGTGCGCCTGCGCGAGTCCTCTGGCGCGTGTACCATACCCTGGCCGTCGCCGGCTCGCCGCCCGCCGCCGTGCCCCGCCCGGCCGTTCCATTCGGCGTTCTCCCTGCGCAGACGGCCAGCCCCGTGCGGCTTCCGGTCAGCTCCTTCCCGGCGAGGCGGCGACCGCCCCGCTCGTCCAGTCCAGGTCTCGAGGAGACTACCCGGCGAGGCGGCTACCCGGCGGCCGGCGGCAGGCGCCCAGTCCAATTCCATCTCAGCTGCTCGCACGCAAAGCAAAGGTAGTCCCAGTCCAGGTAACTTGACAATCAGGACTCGACTTGATTACAGTTTTCAACTTTTCTGAATGGTAGTGTAGTAGTATTATTGGGGGTCGGCTTGCCAACTTCCAATTGACTGAAATATGAAAGGTAGATTCAGATTCGTATTAATAGAAGAGTTACATATCATATAGACAATCAGAAGTATGGCCTACCCGTTTCTAACATCTTCGTTATAATACATTGTTTATATATGTTGAAATTCCCAGGCTGTTAATCCATAGGCATAAATGACCTCTCTTCCCTTGAAACCTGAGCATCAACAGATACTCCATCCACAAAGGAAACTTGTTTCATTTGTTTCGACAACCCGTTCCTGCAATAAAAAGACTACAGTCATAGACTTTAGGCTGTCAAAACAGTGCACTGCCAAGTACAGGCATCAGATTTCTATTTTGGCTTCTGTATGCCTTGAATCTGGGTTTTTGGCTTCTGTACACCATCAAACAAGGTTCAAGAGAAAAAGGAGTAGTATGTGCCTTCCAGTCGCAAAGAAAAGGAAAAAAAGGTCGACAGCGTCTCGATGCTGTTGACGCCTCAAATTATCTGTACGTGAGGAGAAGAAAAGGGGCCTCCGTTGTTGTGTCTTGTGTGTACGTGAGTCAAACAAGAAACGAGAAAAAGGCCTCTAGTTTCTTTTGGGTCGGTAAAGCGAAATGTTTTGTTCCTCGCAAAGAATCATCTTTCTTATCCTTTAGTCTATCGACTTCTAAAACTAGCTCTACATTTCGTCTCTTCCCTGTGCGGAGTTTCTTTTAACACGTACTGACGTAACCCTATCATAGTGCTGTTGTATGCGATGCTTTCCATTCACTGAGTCTGAAGAATTTTAACGTTAAGGGAGTTACCATTGCTAGCAGCAAGGCAGAAAATCTTGTCTAGTTGCGGGTGGATTTCCTTATTCCAGTACCATACAAACTTATGTCAAGTTTTCAATACGGACATAAATGTTCACATACCATAGAAACAGAACACTAATAACCACAGCCATAGTCGGAGTTCGGAAAAAGGCACAGATACAGATCCAGATCCAGTTGTCTTTTATTTTATACAGTTGAACCGCATGTAACGTCCCCACTTAAGAGGCATCTGAGTAGAGCTCTTCAATCACCACACGAACTGCAATCGGGATCCGAACCAGGTGGGCGCCTCCATCATGCCATGCCAAACTACCGAAGGTGTAGCTGCCCTGGATCCTTCGGGTGGCCCTGAAAGTCACCTTGAAACTCTGCACCCTCCTTGCATTGCTGAACACCAGCACTGCTGGCTCCACAGCCATCTTGACGCCAGGCGGAGGCTCCAAGAATGCCTTGTACACCGCATTCGGCTGGCCAACATTGGTAACAGTGCGCACAACCATCACGGATGTCTTGAGGCCAGGAATGGCAATCGATGGGAGGTTCAAGTCAGGTGGTGTGCAATTGTTATTTGGACCAAATCCTTGTAGACAGTTGAAAAACTCGAGGTAATCTGACGCACTGATGTCATATATCAGGCCTGGATCAGCTGCCTTGGTTGGATTAACAGACCCTGCTCCGTAATCAAATGGGTCGGCGATCTTTGCACGATTTCCATTTGCTTCTATTGGAACCCCATTGCTGTCCATGGTATGTGCTGCAAGAGAGACACTTTATTTGTGCTTATCATAAATACTCGATATCTCAACTATATATGTAGAGAATCAGATAATTACCGGTTGTCATTAGTGCTGATTTTAGGGCGGCAGGGGACCAGTCAGGATGAACGGATTTGAGTAGAGCGACTATCCCAGATATATGAGGGCAGGCCATGGATGTTCCAGAATCAAAGACATAGGAAACACCTAGACTTTTGTAAGCACCACTTTGTGCTGCAGCGGCTAAAATGTACACCCCAGGTGCAGCGATATCAGGCTGTTCATTTGGGAGCACAACTAATTAAGGCAAATAGAGTTAATTCTATATATGTTTCTTAGTAGATTGTAACTTTTAAGGAAAGAGAAGACTCCAATGACACTATAGAGTGACTGAATCGAACAATTTATTTACCTTAACAAGAGATTGCTAGCTAGAGGTGCGCTGCTTACCTTGAGAACCCCAGGATAGATAGGACTAGGTCCCCTTGATGAGAAAGATGCTATTCTTGGGGCAACAATTTCACTTCCGCTGGTTGTTCGGGTTGTTGATATCTTTATTTTTGGGATGCCAATGCGACTGCCATAATTATAAGGGGAAACGAGAAAGCTTTGGTAAACATTGAAATGGAGATGATAATGTGCGTACGTCCAGAAAGTAGAAAATCGATTTATGTACGTCTAAGAATTTTCTCTACGTACTTGCAGTACACAGCAATCTGATAGCTAGTCTTGAAATCTAGAGGAACGCAAGGAAGGGCTGGTCCTTTAATTGCATATAGATCAAGAGAGTCCAGATTATTCTGTGAGAATATAAACCCCTTCCCTCCATTTCTCCGCACCGTCGCTGCAATATCTGCATACTTGGGTGGTGGAGAGACACTACCTGGTCCTGGTGTGTAGCAGAATACCACCTTCCCGTGTATGTCAGTGCTGTTTATGTAGTCCGGGTCACACCTGCAAAACAGTTACCCCTTGCTTATCCACTGTGGGTGAAATTCATATTTATTTAAATGGTGTTCGGAGTATATTTATAAGGGAATCTTACCTATCATTAAAGTAATACAGAAGTTGAGAGAACTCATCTCCACCTTTATCAGCCACATACATGGATTGTGCCTGTAACCAATTAAGCATCCCACTGTGAGAACGAAGAGAGGTAAAACATGACGCATGGTCAAATCTGAAGATGCATACCACAAACTGTCGGTTATCCCCGAGGGTGATAACCGTGAGGAATGATCGATCAACCGTGGTTGCAGCAACCGTGAGTAGCCATGGTGAAGAATTCTGCACCGTTTGCTCCGTAGGTCCATCATTTCCAGCTGCCATGATGACCGGGACGCCTCTTGCCACAGCACCCAGCGTTCCTAATGCTGCCATTTCGTCCGTGCTTCCGAGAGAGAGTGATAGGACGTCAACACCGTCATGGATAGCATGATCGATGCCTTTCAGAACGCTCGCGATAGAGCAAGTACCCCAGCAAGCCTTGTACACTGCTATCCGGGCGCGAGGTGCGCCACCACGAGCCGTTCCAGCAGCCAGTCCGAAGAAGCTGGTGTTGTGGACGACGTTGCCACCGGCTGTGGAGGCTGTGTGGGTGCCGTGGCCATGAGAATCCCTGGCAGACAGGAAGTCACCTTGGAGAAATCTCCTGTCGATGTCAGCGCCAGCATACCACCGCGCACCGATGAGCTTTCGATTGCAATCGTGGGCACTGAAGTTGGCACCGGTTTGGCAAGTTCCCTTCCATTTTGAAGGGGGAGGTCCATAGCCATCATCAGCGAAGCTCTGTGACTCAGGCCAAACACCTGAAATGAAAGACAAGTGGACTAGAGGTAAACCCCCCACACAATTAATTGTGTTAACCTTGGGCTGAACGAGCCATCGCATCCACCTGAGTCGATGACACCGATAATCATCCCATCTCCATGGTTTGCTGCTGCAAGGAGCTCATTTGGCTGCTGCTCCTGCTTGATGTCCACGCCCATGGACAGCCCAAGGAAATCCCAGCTCCGAGTAGTATGCATGCGTACCATTGTGTTCTCTTTCACACTCACCACTCCAGGCAACTCTGTATCCGAGCCGGAAGCAGCAAGTGATTATTAACTCACTTATGAATAACAATGATTGATGGTCAACAAGCATTTGTCGGTAAATATCAATTGACTAATACTACATCTTATCAAAAGAGAGATCACTTGTATATGCACATATATATTATACATACTCTGGATCTTTCTCGCTTGTGATTCGGTAAGCATTGCAGAAAAGCCCGAGAAACCATATCTGTAGCTGTGGACAATCGATTCGAGAGCTGCCTCCTTGCTTCATAGCCATTACATACGTACTTGCGTAAACAAACTTGAGAAATGGTATAATGAAATATAATTCTACTCTTGGAGGAAAGGAACTTTTGAGAGAAACTGAAGAAATTTAATTTGGAGGATATAAAATGCCTTTGTAGAATAGGAATGTTTCCTTCACATTTTAGAGGAGTTATATGTCATACCATGAGGTTACTTCTTAATCCAATTATATTTAAAGTTCCAATGCATCTTGGTGATTTACTCTATCCTTTCCATGTCTAAATAAGTAACACATAATTATGCCAGTTAATGATGTCCATGTTTTTGTTTCTTATAAGATTCCATATGACGGGATATCATAATTTTATGACTTTATTTATTCCTATGTTTCTACAATCCTGTATCCTGGAGGGCATTATAATACTACTCCCATTGCTCCAATCCAAAATAAGTGTCGTGGTTTTAGTTCAAATTTGAACTAAAACCACGATACGTAGTTTGGATCGGAGGGAGTAGTGTTCTGCAAATAGCTCGATTAAGTTTCTTCTTGTAACATTTTTCTAACTTTTTGAACAGATGAGGAGTGGACAGTAAGGAGGAAGAATAGAGGAGAAAATGAAGGGACAAAAGAAAACAAAAATTCTGCATACAGAAATTACAGATAAGCCAAACACCACCTCAGCTACCATTTATCTAGCTTGTCATCCTTAGTTAACCTGGACACTTAAGATCCGCTGACGAATGCAGTTTAATTTCTAGCAGCTAGCTTCAGATACTCACGTTGCAATTTATATTTGGTGGTATTATTTCTTTCTCACAGTAAAGTCTGGAGACTGTGCACTAATTTCTAATTATATTAATCAATTTTGACCACTTAGAGAATAAGGGTATTTTATTTTGAATTTTCTGCATTTGATTCTTGTTTGAGATTTTTGGTTCAAACAAAAAAGAGAGGTGCAGAAAGTGATGGGACTGCCATAGTGCCATTCAGAGGAGTCCATGAGTCTACAATATTGAGACTAACCATAGCATAGTCCCTCCCTGCAACTTTATTTTTGGAGAAAGTCAAAATGACTGGAAGCTCCTACAACTAGTTTAATTAAGCACATAAAAATGGACGTAGTGGAATGCAAAATATGCGGAACTCGTTTAAGCAAAACAAAAGGTGAAAATCTCAACAAGACCAAGGCAGCCACCTAATAAGTACCTAACTAAAGTAGATGTAGTCATGTAGAACACGGCTACGACAAAGAGACACGCTGATGAAGCCAACCGAACACAACATGGAAGCATATAGAGAAGCAGTTGTGTTGTATAATAGTGGAGCCAAGATGTTGTATAATATCGCTGATTTAGTGCAACTTTGTATTAAATTAATGATTCTTATTATGGATCAAAGGGAGTAGCTAGGTAGTACTATGAAAGGTACCTTCCGAGAACGGAAGCGAGCAAGTCATGGTGCAAAGAGGTAACGAGACTGACATCTTCCTATTGCCTCTCCCCAAGGTAGACGATGTATACCTGAAAACATGTTTACGTATTAACTAATAACGTCTCACCTGATTAGCAATGAATGGAATGGACCTTACCAACTTGGCTTTGCTAGTAAGCTGTGGTTTAACATGTTCTTTGGCAACTAAATTACTTTATTAATTGCAGATACAAGCTAGTCACTAACATCAGTGTGCCGGACAGCACATTCGGAGAACAGCTTTGACAAGTGGTAGGACCGATATGTTGCCACTGACATTGTATCAACTGATATGACACCGGGATTAACCTGTAGCACAAATGAGCAAACTAAAAAGGAACCAAGGTGAAGGTTACTCGCGCAGCTTGTCTGATATCCTGAAGCTAAGTATCCCTCTAACTTACTTAGCGCTTGTAGCCGTTGACTAAAAAGACAGGTTAAGATTTAGTTCAGCATATTAGCAAGACACTATATATATTGAGGTATTGTTCAGAGATATTGTAGCATAGAAGCATCGAGTCTGAAGCGTATTGACTCTAACGGCTGAGATTTCGTAAAGTGAAAAAACTGTGGCTATTAATTACTGTGCATCTGACTTCCCTTGGGCACATCAGAAAATCTGCAGCGGAAGGTTACTGGAGTGATAGAAGCAATCCACAATTGTAGCAAGGATATCCTGTAGAGCTTGGCATTTAGCTTGGGGAAGAATAATGGACATCTCAAGGAATATATGACTTTACAGACCCGGTTTTTTCAGATGGTGGTGTGACACTAGTTTTTTTGCTCCTTGCACATGGTAGCCGATTTATGTGTTCATTAGCTAGTGATGAGAGACATAAATAATTCACCAACGGGATGAGCAAGCGAAATATCGAGAAATTGTTTGGTGGAAACATCGCCTGGACCTAGCTAGCTGTAGATTTATGGCTATGGCAAATTAGTTCAGCTGTCACATCGGTATCACCAAGGAATATAGCTTTACAGTACCCAATTTTCAAATGGAGCCACTGTTGAGTGATCACTAGTTCTTGTCTATAATGCTCCTTGCACATCAGAGATGCTCAATCATCGCTGCCGTGCATATTGCTTGTGCTCTCTATTTGTCTTTTAACAAATTAACATACGCTATATACATTTAGCATGTACGTACTTATATATGGAGTTCACCTGCAGTAGGCACAAAAAGTAACTTCCTCTTTTGAAAAAGCGGTGGAAACATTTCACCCTTGTACATTTAGCATGTACTTGTATGTTTTTTAAATACATTTTTGTGCAGTATAAAAAAGGGAAGGCATGCATGCATGCATGGCTTTTTTTTTCCTGTTCTTTCATACCAATGCATGCATGGAACCTTGCCAGCGTATCTGCAACTGCACACACAATATAACCCAAATGCACATTTTTGTTGGTACCTCTAGGTATGCATAGATTTTGCCAGTTAATTTGCTGTAGGACGGCCCCAGCATGGGTAGTGGGCGTGATGTGAGCGCGTACGTGTAAGTCTTAAGGCCAGACAAGCTCTATGGCACGTTTTGTGGGAGGGCAACCTTCTCTTTTTGAAAAGGGCAGAGCAGCCTCAAGGTCAAGGGGCATATTTTGGATTGGTGCCTTGGATTTTCAAGAGAATTTCATAGTGGACTAGATAAAACATTTTGTTCGGTCAATGTGCTATCAAGAAAACCTTCTCTTGTTCGAAAGGGCAGAGCAATCTCTAGGCCCACTATCTCACAATGATGGTGGAACTTGGAATCGGACGGAAAAAAACTGAAGCACACTGAACAAGCCGATAGAAGCTTACCTATCGTGGCCTCGTGGGCCTGGTTAGGACGAATGGACATCCTGTCCTGTACTAGTATTGAGCCCGGGGAAGAATGGACATCAAGGAGTATAGGTCTTTATAGACACCAATTTTCAGACCAAGCCACTGTAGGGTGATCACTAGTTCTTGTCCGTAATGCTCTTTGCGCATCACATCTGCTTTATGTATCGATCAGTCGTTCGAGCCATAGATGCTGCATATGCTCAATCATTGTGAAAAGTTTAGTCGAACCAATATCTTCTTGTTTTCTTTATTTGAAAAGTTGATGCACTTGTTAGTTGCGGCACTTCCTTTTGTCATGATGTCTGGTGTGACAATGTTTCTCTCAGGGCCAAATATGCACACATTTTTCAGTACTGTGAGCAGAGCAGAAAGATGTTACAGTTAGTGAGATCATCTTATTGATATTTCTTTGAATAGTCATGTGACCAATTTGGAATTAAATGACCCAGTGGGAAGAGCTAAATCCAGCTAACGGATAGTGAGGATAGTGCAAGATGGTCTCTTTCCAAGAATGGTTGTTTATCCCCCAAAAAAGAATGGTTGTTTATGTACCAAATGTTTGTATAAACCCATGGTTAACAGGGGCGTTTTGAGCTCCAGATGTGTGGACATTTGCAATTGCAAGGTAAAATTTCCTGCTAAGCAGCAAATTTTCTTATGGCTGTGTTGGCATGGTAAATTGCAAGTAACTACGGAGTTGCATAATCGAGGCTGGCCAGGAGACGTTGGATGCGTCTCTGTGGGCATCTCAAAGCCACGACGCATCTAATGTCTCAGTGTCCCATGGCTAACTTTGTTTAGTGTGTTGTGAAAGAAGGTTTAAATTTGTGATATATTCCTTTAAACTTAGAGGAGTTTAATCGGGTTTGTATCCCAATACCAGGGAGAAAGAAAAACAGTATCATGCTTATGTTCTTGGCAGCAATAATATGGTTGATTTGGATGACTAGGAATGATATAATCTTTCGTGACAAAGTAGTTTCTTATCATATGCATGTCGTTTACAGAGTTATGAACCTTTTACTGCACTGAAGACGGTTGGTGGCGCCGAAGCAGCAGGACCAACTCGAAAGAACAATTGAGCAAATTCGTCAAGTGCTACACCAACTTCACTGTAAAGCCGGAGTTGGGAGGAGAAGGAGAGTTGGTTGAGTAGTGTCATGGGAATTGTTTCCATTCACAAACACAACTTTTTGTGTGATCTCGTGTGTTGTCTCCTTAACTAGTGGAGGTGTGTGAAACTTTCAAGTTTGTAGAACTTCATGTGAGCTGGTTCTCCCAGCATAACCGCACTCTGTTTTAACATTCTCGCTGAGCCTTGTGCCTTTTATCTAAAAAAATCCACTCGTTTGTTCCATCCTAGGCGAACTGACATTTGCCAACAGATGGACAACATCCAGGGTAGTCATTTATTGTCTATTGTAATATTAAAGCAACACTATTTCTACAGTTAAGACGTCACAAAGTTAAACATGTGACCAAGATATATCACAGGATAATATGGAAAGTCAATGAGGTATTTGTATCGCAACTAAACTGGACTTTTAAGCATATAGGGAACCAATGAGACTGCATGCATCTTTTGCCATCTAATGTAGGGCTCACGTCTGTAAGATGTTCAAGGCCTCAACCTTATTTGGCAAGGACTCAACCTTATTTGGCAAGGACTCAACAACACAGATCTAATTGTGGCAAAGTATCAACTAAGCAAGTAACAAGTAATGGTAGCAGAAAAGACCATTACCCCTTACCGTTTGTCGATCAAATGCTTGACAGGCTAGCTAAACGTACTCACTTTTGCTACTTAGATGATTATTCTGCTTTCAAATACCCGTGCACTCTTTTGGTTTAATGCTCTTGCTACTTCTCAAATATGTATGAGTGCCATATTCTCTTATTATGTTGAGAAAATAATGAAAGTGTTTTTCGATTATTTCTCTGTTTATGGTAGTTCTTTTGATAAATGCTTGTATAACTTGAACAAAGTCTTGCAACGTTGCAAGGACAATAACTTTTTTTAGATAAAAGGCGAGAGCCCGACTTTATAGATAAAGCCACCAGGCAGAGTCACAACCAACAGAAGGCACCACATAAGTTTAACAAAACACGCTTATCATGGCACGCAGGCCAGCCAAGCGAGCAATCAAACCACTAAGAGACCGGCCTCCTGGAACACCGCAGCAGGGAAGAAGCCGTAGATTTCATTTTGGATAGCATATCGTCGAACGCCTCTAGGTCCCTATCCTTAGTCAATGATCTCCATTGCTGCAAAAAGACATTGGTTTTAAATAAGCAACTCACAGGGTTAGCCGGGAAAATGTGTTCAATAGTGAACTTGTTTCTAGTAGTCCAAAGCGACCAACAAATCGCAGCCCAGCCCACCATGAAAACCCGCTTAGACCGGCCTGCTAAAGAATTAATACAACGCCGAAGATCCTCGAAAGAGGATGGGTTCCAAGAAACACGAAGCCAAAGTCTAATGCAACTCCAAAAGAATTTAGCCAAAGAGCACTGAAAAAAGATATGTACGGTATTCTCTAGGGCACCGCACAGATGACAACTATCAGAACCCGGCCCGTTCCTCTTCTTAATCTGGTCAGCCGCAGGAAGTTTGCGACGGAGAGCTTGCCAAAGGAAGATTTTGATCTTAGGAGGGATGCGGGCAGACCAAATGAGTTTAAACTTGTCAGTGCGCACACCAGCGATGAGTTGCGAATACGCCGACTTGACAGAAAAACGCCCCGAAGAGGAATGAGGCCAAACAACGGAGTCCTCTTCCTCCAAGAGCAGGGGGAAGCAGGCAGTAAGGCGTTGCCAATCTTCCAACTCCACAGGGGAAAGAGAACGCCGGAAATCTAAAACCCAGCCCTGAGCCGAGAGCTCAGAGATAGAGATCTCGGGGTTAGCACAAAACGAAAACAAAGTCGGGTGAGCCACCGCAAGAGAAGTGTCCCCAACCCACCAGTCTAACCAAAAACGAGTAGATTTGCCGTTACGAAC